TAGCTATTTATTATTAGCATTATTCTTCCGACGTCTGATTTCTTTTTAATTATAGGAAATGCGTTTTTCTAAGCTACATACACTTTTGGGATTGACTGTATAGCCAATACATCCTTAAATATAATGGTAAATGGACTATCGGGGCAATTGTCATAATCTTATCTATACTAAATGTTTCAAGTGATAGTACAAGCGACTCTTCGTAACATTCGAGAATGTTGAATCATTTAAAACACAATACATTCATTATATTAGGTTCGCATCCGGAGAGCAATATGAGGAACCAACATCGATCAGTCTTGGCAACGATTACCAATAAAAATCATTACGTTTCCCAAAATATATATAAATATAAAAGAATAATAACTAAGATCCGTAACTACCTTGATAATCGATAACGTTAATTAATCGTATAGGGCCTTACGCGTTACAAATTCAACGCAAATAAATATGAGCTTCCCTACGTCCAGCCGACGATTATTCAAATCGCAGTATGCATGCTTCGTGTAAAATAGTTGTGGTAAAAAAATTTCGTACGACGACCGATACGTAAAACGTGCTTAATCATTTGATAATATTGATCATTTAGTTATTATTATCTAATAGTTTAATTAGTGTACGTTGGCAAAAAGCATCTTCACTTTTTCGTAGTCTTCCATTCGCGAGAGTTAACTCGAATCTCCGGTCGCGACACGTACCAGTTAATATTTATGAAAAATTTCTTATTATCTTAAGTAGTTACAGTCTCGAGTCATTGTATTTAGCAGACTATATGACGAAAATTTACGAAGTGCAACATACAATGCACGGTAGAACGTAAAATCGTCTTTGTTGTAATTAAGACAAATTAAACTTTTCGTTTTCAATGGTAAAAATACCAAGTTTAATGTGTCTATTAAAATAGCTAGGAAACAATAAAAACGAACGAGATTTTTTAAAAAGATTAACAGACACGTATAACATTTCCCTTCGCTTCATTTTGTGCTAAATTATTACCTAGTCCTTCAGTTCAACAAATAAGATTCGAACGTACAGTGAGATCAATAAATATTCGTACACATCTAAAACTTAAATAAGATTATTTAATTTTAAAACATGTACGAATGCTCACGATCCTCACCGTATAAAGAAAAAGAATGAATAAAAGATCAAGATGCATAAATGATAAACTTTTAAAGACGCCCGTCAGGAAATAAGATCATATGAGAAGTCTCGTTCGTCTTTTCTTAATTTTCAGTATTTACAGGTTCTCGTGCATGATGAATTCTGACGTGTTTGTTGTGATTGGATTTCGTACCGCTAGACTTTCCGCAAATGTGACATGTATATGGTCTGGCACCGGAATGAACTCTCAAGTGCTCCTTCAGATAGTACGATCTATGAAACGTTTTGTTACAGACGTCGCACGTGTACGCCTTGTTCTCCTCGTGTTCCTTCACGTGCCTTAAACAATTATACTTTCGTATGAACTGCGCCCCGCAGTAATTGCAGGTGTACGGGCGCACGTTTCGATGGGAATTCATATGAGCGGTGTAATCACTGTGCCGGTAAAACGCGCCACTACACTGGTTACACTTGAACGGTTTCGTGCTACGAGCAGCGTGTGTCCATTTGTGCAGCTGTAAGTTCCACTTGGTACTGAACGTTTTAGCGCAGACTTGGCATTCGTACGGCCTCTCGCCGTTGTGAACCCGCATGTGTACAGCTAAGGAAGATCGTAAATAAATACACTTACATACAGGACATTCGACGTTCTCGCTCTCCCTCTGAGCGTCCGGAACGAATCTTTTGTTATGCGCCCGCCGCATGTGTCTGGTCAAGCTGGCCATGTGAATGAATCTCTCGTTGCAGTAGGTGCACGCCTTCGGCTTCTCGTCGTGCGTCTCCTTATGCCAGGCCAATTTTTTCTTCGTATGAAACACCTCGCCGCAGTGGCATATGTAATCCTTCAATTTCCTTTTTATATTCAAATGATGCCTGTTCTTGTGCTGCGTCAGATTCGAATATCTGCGAAACGTTTCGTTGCAGAGATTGCACTTGACAGGCGCGTTCCCGGTGTGACCGTTCGTGTGCTCGTCCAATTTCTGCTTCGTCAAGAACGCCTTGTCGCAGACGGTGCACGGGAAAGGCTTGATTCCTAAATGCCGTTTCATGTGCAGTTTAAAATTCTGTTTCCTATAAAAATACTTTCCACATTGGCTACATTCTAGCGGGTGTATCTTCAGATGGGCGTTGAACAACAGAACCGAGGGGAATTTCTCGTGGCATATCTGACACTTGGCGTTCTCGCGGATCCGTTTCGTCGGCTCGGTGACGTGCACCCTTCTGTGATGCAGCTGTAGCGACTTGTCGCTGCCGAATCTCTGATTGCAAAGCGTGCAGATCACCTCGATGTTCGACGGTATCAGCGTTTCCAGTTTCTGATCCGATTCTAACTTCGGAGTAACGTCCGACGATTGCGGTGGTTGAAGTTGATGTAGCAGCGGTTGTTGATGACAAACTTGTTGAACATGTAAACCTGGTACAAAAATATCTTCAAACACATTCATACGGCCATCCAGTAACTTAATATCTTTCACTTCCGACTGATCGGTGGACTCTCTACTACTACTCGGGCCAGCTTCTTTGTGCGCGGTGGTGCTGTGTACCCGACGCTCTTTCGGGCAATCGAATATCTCGGGGCAATGATAACATTTGAACGTTCTTTTCGTAGGAGTTTTCCTGTCCCTATCTAAAAACAAGCTTGACGTGAAATGCGTAGCCAGAGACCTGCTGTCCAGTAACGGGCCTCCAATTTCATTGTCCGACCCGTCGGACTCTTCCCAACTTTCGCGGGCCATCAAATCGTACGAAGTTGACATCCGGGACGACTCTTGACCAGCGTACAACTAAATATATAAATCCAAGTTAATAGATTGTTCTATAAATTCAATTTTAGTTTAGCAGAAAAATCACACTACGAATCTATGTAGTATAAACAGCAATGGGAACGATAGGTAGATGAATTGTAATATAACAATAATATTGTAATATAATAATGTAATATAATATAATACAATAAAGTAAATATAATAATATAATAATGTAAACAATACGCATACATACCTGCCATGCGGATTGTTCTGTACATCCATTGCTCTCCTGCTCCGATAATTCACCTCTGGGTGGCATCGTCTCGTCCGCCCTCATATTAATGCTCTTGACTTCCTCGTCTATGCCTACTCCACCTTCGCTGCTCGCCATAGACTGCTGGCTAGTACCACTAACAGCTTTTTGTGAAGAATCACTTATGAATGTACTAGGAACTAAGATTTGAAGCCCATCGAATTCAAACACGTTCATTGGACCTGCATGGGCGTCTTCGTTTAAACTAAGAAGTTCCATCGATTGCTTTTGTATAATTAATTTAGACGAATGGAAACACTTGGACTCCGAGCTACTCGGAGCGTCGCCGGACTCCGACAAATTTACATGACTATTAGTTTTACTTTGTATGCTATACGGTTCTATCAACGTCGATTGTTGAGAATGTTGAGAATGAATCGTAGGAAATGAACTCATGTGTTCAATTATCCCAGACTGATATGCTGTGCTCGCCTCCACTTTCTTCTCGTTCTCACGTAAGGAGACCTCCGATTCATAAGCTTTTACATCGTGCTCGGCCGAAGAACAGTCGATAGGATCCTTTTCCGTTGACGCGTCCATCGCTATGTTGCTACCTTCGTCGTGGTTCATGTCGTTGCCGTTGATTTGGCAGAACGAATGCACCGAGGCAGGTGAGCACGGTTTACTCAGATCCTTCCTCACCCTTAATACAGAGATACCGCTGCTCGCAGATAAAGGAGTGTACGATCTAACATTCTCTGAACTCTCGCCGTATTTAGTAAAAGGTGTGTGAGGACTGGGTATCTCCTCTATCTCCATATCCGCTTCGTCGAAAGTGTCCTCCTCTTTGTTCTTCTCGTCCTCGTCGTCCTCCTCATTTTGCAACGCGTTCGCATCGAAACCGATCGGGTAAGAGTTAAGATTTTCGCTCGAACCGTATTCCGAGCGGGCAGAATAAGTCCTGCGCGATTTCTTTTGTACAACAGGCGACGCAGGTGCGGATAAACTGTTTTTATAACTGTATAAAAGACAAGTACATTTACTTATATCGTTATCTGTATCAGTTTCCGAACTCTCAATAACTTTTACTTCTATACTAGGTCTGCAATCGTTTGTACAATCACCACTGGTACCGCCAGTACTCGCGTCGCAAACCAAGTCCTCTACTATTTCAGGGGAAGAAGGAATTTTCTTTGTATCTTTACATCTCGTTTCGTCGTCGTCTAAATTCGATTCTTTCTGCGGCGCATTAGTAAGATCATTCTCCATGATAGTTATTAAAAGACGCTCTAATTGTTCTACTTCAGGTTGAGCTGGTTCCTTCACCGTTTCTTCTAAAGGCGTTTCTGTCGAGGTACCATCATTTTCACTTATCTCTTCTCTGCGAGGAACTTTTTCATTAGTTACTTCTTCTTCTTCTTCATCATCTTCTTTCGTCTCACTTTCCGTAACCATTGGTGTTATCTCAGGCGTAATAACTTCGTTACTATCAGCTTCGAATCTCTGCACGTACTCGTGTATCTCGGATGGTCCATAATGAATAGGCTGGACATCGATTCCTGCAATGTGTGAAGCTTCCTCGTCGTCGATGTCCGGCAGTACGCTCTTCTTATCGTCGCCAGTATCGTCAATGTTGCACCTGACCGTCGTCGATTTTGGAATGCTATTATATTCGTTTCGCACAGCGTGCTGCTGCTGCTCCGGGGTACGCGAGCCAAGCGGTTCCTCTTCCTCTTGCACTATAGTAATTGTACTAGTTTCACTTTCATTTTCCTGCATAGGATTACGCTCGCTCAACGATGGAGGAGAGACCGGAAGGTTGATATCTGGTAGCACTTGTTCGGGCTCTTGTTCCGATTCAGGTAAGATCTCAGGTAAAATCTGTTTTGGCTCGGAATTATTTACAGGTACAGCAATGGCAGTTCTGGCAACAGCAGCGCCCGTCTCACCAGCAACGGTGACCACCGGCCTGACCCTGGCCGGGTTCGGCACAGCTGCTACTGGCGAGATCATCTGAACCGTTGGTATCTGTTGCTGCTGGTACATACTATACGGATTATACAGCATCTGCATCATGTGATTAGCCTGCGGTGCCATTGCATATTGCGGTATCATCATAGTGCCGTTATTTACAAATTGCTGATAACTGAACGAAGCGAATTGAGGTGGCGGCATCATGGTACCCATAGGCGGACACTCGAAGATCGGTCCGATGGGATACGGGGACTGAGTCGATAGATGAGTATTCTGTGCGACCTGGGGTGAACTCTGAGGCGATTGTACAGCCGGAGGAGGTGCCGATGGCGACAACTGAGCCTGTTGCAAATGTGAAGAGTTACTACTAGCTTTGATAAGAGCTTCGATGACCTGTTCCTTGGGATGAGTGTCCAAGTGCCTCTGCAAGCTGATGCCCTCCCGCAGATAGAGGGTGCACACCGGACAGGCCACTGCACCCCCCGACGCTCCACCGTTCGCTGCATCCATTGTGTCTAAGGTATCTCGCTCACTGGTTCGATTTCTCGACTATTACATCGGACACAACCGAGGCAATGAGATTTTCAATAAAATATCTACCGCGTAGCAGCAGCGGTACCACTTTCTTTTTTTTGTAATTGACGTCCTTGCTGTTACTACCGTCGCGGTCGTTTTCGTCGTCACGTTCGTCCCGAGTATCGTCCCGGTCGTCGCTAAAATCACTGTTGTTTTCGTCGTCGTCGGTGCCGTGGTGTCTGCCACCACCGCCACCGTCGTCGTCGCCCTCGCCGTCGCCGACGTCGTTTTCGTCACCGTCGTAATAACCGCCGTGGTCGTCGTCGCCGTCGCCACCGCCGCCGCCGCCGCCGTTATCGTTGTCGTCGTTCCCGTTGTGGTCGCCGTCGTGATGGTCGTTATGATCGTGATAATAGTAGTAGTAGTGGTGGTAGTAGTAGACGTTCCCGTTGCGACCCGTGATAATTTGACTAATACCGTTTCCACATATCGCCGACGACTGGCTGCATTTTCGGCTTTATCAGGCCTGTACGCGAGTCTCGGTACGGCGTATGTACATCCCAGAAGTTGCGCCAGGCAGTGCCCCAAAAATATCGACGTTCATGGCTACCTGGTTCGTGTGTGCGATGGAGCCAGCAAGGCAGTCGCGGACAAATCAATATCCTATTAAATCGCCAGCCTCCCCTGCTCTCTTATTAAATTACACCTGCACTGTTCACACACGCTCCGCGCACGACACCCTCCTTCGACCTAGCCGCGAGAACTCTTTCGTAAGAGCCTTTTGTTTCTTGTTCGATTATCGAAACGGCATGTTTTTCGCCCGATTCCAGCCTAAAAACACAACAGAAAACAGTGACGAGTGATATTCCACCTTAGAACGAGAACAACAAGAAGAGTTTCCTGCGACCCTAACGCCCTCTCGTACGCTACTCTATATATTAGCCGGAGTTACAATGCCGATCGCCACCAGATCACTCCCCATGTTATCAACAATGTTTCAAGTGCTTTCGACACGATATTTGCAATCGGATTTGCATATATTCAAATCGAAGGGCACGGTGGACACCCGCCATGTCTTCGGTTGTTATAGGGCGCTGTATTTAAATTGAGGAACGATATATATGTAGAAATGTATAGTCCTATTATATCAAAAATAACTGTACAGTATATAAAATATATTTACTATACATTTTTTAATAAAATGTAAAAATTAATAACATAGTATATATGTATCACACGACTTCACTTCCTTTCCTTTAGTCTATTACGCCATTGTTTGAAAATAAAACGCATGTTCTGTAGAATTTATCGGACGCGTTCGCCACATTCCTAATTGTTTTCGGCTACATGCGCTGTAGAATTTGTCAGACGCAAAATCAGCCCCAGTGCCACTACTGGTTATACTTCTGCTGTGACTGTGTCCTCTTACGGCACGTGGGAAAAATACGACACGGGGCCGAGGATGCACTGTGCATTCTGTAGTAGTAACCTAAAAGCGTTGCATTATGCATAATCAATTTGCGAAAAACGTCCTTTGAACGTAGCGTAGCTTTCAGACATTAAACAACGTTCCTTAACTCACGCCCGCCACTGCCAGAATGGCAATTATGAAGGTACTGTTGCGGCCAAGCATCGCGAGGTTTACGGGAGTCAGGGTGAGTTACGTTTCATTCAGGAGTCGACGTACAATTGTTTAGTTTTTCTACAGTGGCCCGTCGTATGTACCTTCTTTTTCATTAATCGTCAATGGACCTCGTAAATTTTCAACTGTTTACGCAAACATGATGAAAGCGACGAGTTTATCGAAGCTTATATACGTATATAAGTACAGCTTCTCGTTTCCATTCATTCATTCTTTCAAACTTCTCTTTTTAATCTTCGTATATTATATCGTCAATTATAACAAAGGTATCGCTTTACTTGTTTCAATCTCATCTAAACAAATTGCATTCACGTTCATTCTTATACTGAGATTAAAAAGAATTTAGTTGTATTCTAAATAATACGGCAGTATAAAAATATACTGCCTGCCAGTCAGGGCGTAGGTATATTTTTATATCCTGCCCCAAGGCCTGCGTAGCTGTTTCATATCTCGCTCCAAAAATATGAAGTAACCGTAGAACCACTTATGAAACATTTCAATAGACAATGGTTGGAATTACATTTGAAACTTTCAATAAGACGTATTTTGTTTTCAGCATTTAAGCGTTAAACCAAAGTTCGGGTTACTTTTCGATATCGACGGTGTGATAGTACGCGGGACGAATGTGTTGCCGCCGGTGCCAGAGGCTTTCAAGCAGCTTCAAGGGAAAGACGGTAAATTCCGTGTGCCAACGATATTCGTTACCAATAGCGGGAACGCGTTGCGCAGCGAGAAAGCAGCAGATTTGTCAAAATGGATAGGAATGGAAGTGAAGGAATCGCAAGTGGTCATGGCTCACTCGCCGTTGAAGCTGTTCGAAAACTTTCACAACAAACAGGTGCTGATATCTGGTCAAGGTAGAATCAAGGAGATGGCTAAGGAGCTAGGCTTTCGGAAAACGATCACCATCGAGCAGCTAGTGAAGAATTTCCCGTCGTTAGATTATGTAAATAAAGAAAAGAGAAATCCGATATGCGGACCCGTGGACCCGAACTTCCCTACGATAGAAGGCATCGTGCTGTTCAGCGAGCCGATATCCTGGGAGACTCCGCTGCAGTTAATGGTAGATCTTCTAATGACCAACGGCATGCCTTCTGGACTGCCCAACGAGATTCCGTACCCACACATTCCTATCTTGGCGTGTAATATGGATTTAATGTGGGTGTCGGAGGCGCCGATTCCTAGATACGGCCACGGTGCCTTTTTATTATGCCTGGAATCGTTGTACAAGAAGATCACCGGGAAGGATTTGATATATTCAGCCCTAATCGGGAAGCCTAGCGAAATTACATACTATCATGCGAACTATGTGCTCCGTGAGCATGCCAAAAGTATTGGGATAGATCACAACGTCGACACCATCTACGCTGTCGGGTAATTATATTTAAAACTGCGAGACGGATCCAGTTCGGAAGATCGTAATCAATAAATGAATTTTACAGAGACAACATTAATACTGATGTACTCGGTGCTAATTTGTACGACAAGTATCTGTCGTACTGCACGAAGGAGGAAGTGTTAAAGTCCGACAAGTTGAAGAAGCTGCTCGGGAAGGACGTGAAACCACCGACAGCGAAAGCTTGTATTAGTATTTTAGTTGAAACCGGTGTTCACCACAAAGACTCGGATTTTGTCCCGGAGCACAGTCCCAGGGACTTCCTGCCGGTCGACGATAGCCTGTGCAAGCCCGCGTTCGTGGTGAAACACGTCGGCGAAGCTATTAGTCTTGCATTCAAAGAGGAGAAATTCGTCTGAACTGAACGTACTCATAAAATATACATTTAGACACGGAGTGTTCATATCCTAGCGTCGATTAAGGGTAAGAAACGAACAATAGAAGAGATCGAACAGAATTTCTCTGAATTATCGATGAGTCTGTTTCATTAGCGAGCGTTGCTCTTCTCTGGAAATATGGGAGCATAGGAGGTAACTGTGGGCACATGCTATTGTCTTATCTAATTTCTTCTCTTTGTTTTTTATGTCTTTTGACATTTTCATCTGACGTTTCTCCAAAACAAATTTAAATCATGTATATTTTAAAGTCGCGCGTCGCTTGATTGGGAAATTTTGATTTTATTTTATTACTGCGAGTGAACAATATTTATACTATTCTATATTTTATATATACTATTGCAGCTAATGCTGATCTTTCAGTGTATGCATATTTTCATGTGTACATTTAATATTTTTACTTGTAATTTATAGTTTACGATTGTAACATCTAGAAGAACTTTCGAACAATGTGTACGTGCCAGGTACGTAAAAAGAAGCTGCGTTTTGGTAGGATCAATTAATAAAACAATTCAAATGTCGTTTTAGCCGAGGATAATCATAATCTAGTATCGCAGGTACGGTTAATACGTTATTTCGTTTAGCATTCACTAAGAAATGTAGATATACGAGAATAGACCGAGCGCCCAAATGATTGAGAGGAAGAGAACGAATGGGAGTTTCTTTTGAAAGAAAAACTCATCCAGAGGACTTTCTTCTTTCTTAACAGAAATACTTTGGACGTTCGATCTATGAACGAGAGTCGCTTCATATACTGGAAACTCTGTCTAGTCTCATGAAACAGTTCACATACCGGTAGCGACCTGTAATTTTCCTCAGTGCGATGCGAAGGACGTAGGAAAGTCAGCTGGTATTTTACTAGAGCTTCTGTATATGTACTCTCAATATATTATGTATTATGCGAACCGCAAGACACACTGTAAACGCACATCGTACGGGAGTACTTGGTCCAGCAGCTTACAGTCGACGCGAGTGGGTGTAGAAGTAAAGCAAGAAAATTAAAAGAAAAAAAATAATAGTAATAGGAAAAGTATGGATACGTTTGCTGAGACGAAGACTGACCACACACGTAGAATCAAATTGATTGTTAACGGCCGCTTACTAGAGCTGGTCCATGACTTATTTTGTTAACGTTAGCGAGCTAACGGAAAGAGAGGGAGATCGTTTTTTCTTAATACTGAATCCGACTATTCAAGATTCCCAAGAGGACGGAGTGGCAGCGGTCCGCGAAAGTTAGTGGCGCCGGTAGTTAACGAAGGGCAATTACATACACAGTTAAACGTACAGGAAATGTAGAATGTTGCGAGATTTATAGCAATACAAAATATTTATTATTTTTTAGTTAAAATAATTATTTTATAGAAGCCTCGCCCGAAAGGGAGTGAATTGGTAGTGACTGTTTCTAGCAAGTTTGTTCTCTATTCCTTTACCCTACGATAGCCAAAGGTCGAACAATATAGCTTCTAGTTTTCAACCCCGGGAATCCTTTTTCTTTTTTGAAAGCGGTTTCATGTACGCTTATCACGCCCGGAGGCATTAGTCGCGTGGAATGCACGAGACGAGGAATCATTGTAATAATCAACATCTACGGAACGAATATTGTATGGTCTAGTCTAGTTAAATGAATTACGAAACGTTCATTCAACTTACAGTTTCTTTAACACGACAGCGAAGTTATACGTGCGTATCTCCAATTCGAATTGATCGATCGGCTGTGATTTATTTCAATTAAAAATACCTGACCGATATTTCAGCGACTGTTTCAAATCATGTCCGTACAATCCGTCGCGTCGCTTGAACGTGGAATTTCAACAAAGGAAGATCGATGTTACCATGATTGTTTAAATCGGACGAGAATGAAACGTAGATCAATTCCGCTTTCGCCTATCGTAACACGTTGTATTTGTAGAATCTATAATTGCAATAAAATATACAATATATTTTTTGTTAAACGATTGATCTTGTTGACTGATCAGTGGCGGCTCGTCAGTGAACGAATATTTAAATTGCTCATAGTTTCTGTTTAATGCTGCTGCTTTTTTATTGCATAACCGAAGCGTGCGTCGATGACCGCAGTGTGACTCGGTTCGCTTTTTACTCTAACAGTCCTAATACCAACGCAAAAGATCGTTATAGCTATTCAACAATCTGAGGCCGTCCATATAATCACACGTTGCGTGCAGCTGAACACAAATCCACGAGCTGCCACTGTAACTGATTAATTATATGATTCAATCAGGCAGAAACGATTACCTCCGCGTTACAATTCGTTCGAAAGAATTCCCTGCACAGGTGCAAACATTACCTACCCAGTGCTTATTGTTTTAAGCAGTAAAAAACTCCTCGAATCGAAACAAGTAATGGATTTTTATCGCAGCTAAACGTACGATACGTCTGGGTCTCACGACCCACGAGTTAAACCTTTAATCGTTTGATGAAATAATTCAATTATATATCCGTGCGCCGGTGTCTGCGAGGAATAAATTTACTTCACGTTCGACGAGAGCTATCAGGAAATCATTGCCAATAGGGTCTATCGATTGACATCTACAAACTGGACGAACGTGAACCGTGTCCTTATTTTATCTAAACCAGTCATTATTAAATTGTTTAAACGTAAAATCGGAAATCGACCTGCCTCCCAATGTCTATGTCTATACCGTAAGTTCCTGTAAAGAGAACCGGTTTAGAAACAGGCACGTTCGCTATTTCAGTGTCACTCGAAGATCGGTCACGCCTTCTTAAAGCTAAAAATATATCCCGCTAGTCATCGGTTTGATAAAAATGCAACTGAAATTAAGTAGGACGGATCCGCGTCGGCTCGAAGCTCGCTCGTTTCCGGCGAATCAGGAGTGTACGTGTACATACACTCGACCGAGATTTCTTCTAACCGATGGATTTTTAAGCGATGACACTCCGCTCCCTGGAGACGCCGTTCCATTCCATTCTACGTGGACTTAATACGTAGATTCATTAGTGGCCAAGTTATCGTTATTAACCTTATCGTCGCAGTACTAATCGGCGTACTCGAATTACGTCAGGCCGTGACCGGAATTAAAAACACAGCCGAAGCCTCCTAGGATTCGATCTTACGAGAAAACATGCAACGGGAATGTAAAAAACGAAGAAGCAATGCGCCGCGTTCGCTGATCTAGTTTAAGAGATATAAAATTCAACGAACATGACTACACCGTCAATTACTGAAGTGATGGGTACGATTTACACCAGAAGTAAAAAGAATTCTGCTATTTGTAGTAACACGGTTATACTTATGTGCTCCAAGTTTAATGTAAACGAATACGTAATAGTTTACGTGGCCCACTGATGGCCAAACCGGTTCCATTCATTTCTGTGCCGCGCTGCACCGTAGATGTCATTTCTAATTTGAAATTCAGGGCTCATGCGTGCAAACATAATTTAGGAACGTGAAGTCGTTGCCCGTTAGAAAGTCCTTCCACGTAAAGGGAAAAGACGAGTAGTAAAAGAAGAAATAAGTACGTAAGTGTACAGTGAAAGTCGAGGTGTTACATATTAGTAAGAAAAAAATAGCACAGGAAGAACGAACAAATGACACACGTTTGAGACCGTCGCGTTTTTCCAATCGTTCGCCGGCTTCGATTAGTTGAATAATTTATTATAAAAGTAAAAGTTACCAGAAGACGTTGATAATAATTAAACGAGATACCCACGAGCGACGTGGGAGCGCACAGGGTCGGAAATAATTGACCCGTGAGACTCTTCATCACCGCACGTTTACACTCTCGTTGAAATCAACCGTTTCACTGTCACGTCCCCGCGACAATTTACCGCGATTCCTCGTATGTGTGTAGCTACAGTCGTCAGATACAAAAAATGGCCGGATTTTATCAATACTCATAAAATGCCAATCAATCGTACTTATCTCATTAAATATTGAAGTTAAAAGAAAAATTCATAGAATCTTTCTCGTACATACATACATATAGAACGCAGCCCATGATTTCCCACATTTCATATCTACAGATAAATAAATTACGAAATATCTAACACCCGTTTGTGTCCCTTCTCCTCCTATTCTTCCTCTCGTGACACTCGATCGCTTTCTGAACTTGTTCCAAGTATTCTTGAATCGCGTCCTCTTTCGAAAATCCTCTGGAGTCCGATCTGGCCAAGGATCTCTTCTGTACAAGCGCGCTCAGCATTAGAGTCACCACGGGGAGCGTCATCCCCAGGAGGAACGTGGGTGTCATGAGGTTCTTCAATCCATGCTTCTTGAATCCTCGGTACAACTCCGCCCAGATACCGTCGTCCTCTTCGGGATGCTTACCCAGCTTCCCATACAGATATGGTTTTATCTTCCCTGTCTTTGCGATGTAGTTGTAATAATACGGATCGTACGATTGGGCGTAGAGTTGAGAGTAGTAGACGTCCTTAGGAGGTGGTGGATGATCCGCTTCGGGGAACCAGGCACTCGCGTCTTCGTAAGGCACTGGAGGATTGCTGATCGCCGCTGGGCCCTTGTGAAATCCAGGAGGCTTCGTGTAGATCACTTCCACCGGTGGACCCTTTGGTTTGAAAAGACCTGCTCCGGCAAATCGACGAATATATGCTAATTAGAATATGATTTGCCTTCCAAAAAATGATTTTGTTAAAATCATTAAATTTTCAGGAAACACAGAAAATATATTGTTTATAGACGTATGAGTTTCTGGTTTTTAAACATTAGGAAACTTTCTCAGGCCTAATACTGGATTACGTAAGCTGGAGTTTTCTTAAAGGATGCGACACGCTGGTTGCAAAGTTATTTCGTAACGATTAACGCGGTTCCGACTTAATTAGGATTGAAGAAACTGGATCCGAGCCAAATGCGTGCCAGTGTCTAATTAAAGTAGGAAGATGAATCTCCAGGCGTTGCAATTAATCTGTAACTAATTAATTGGCAATCTTTATGAGAAATCGGACGACTATTTCACTTTTATGTATCACTTGCACATTTTTGCTTTTCCCTGCATAATGAATCTTGTAAGTGTTCAAAAATCTTCACCTAATTAATTGTTAAGCAATTCTGATCTTCATGAGAAATCATGTAAAAGCGTTCTAAAATTCTCATGCACATTCTATTTTTTTCCTGAATGAGTCCTGCGAATAAAAATCTTCAGCTTGTTAATTTAGGATGCAGTCTCACCTGGAGGTGGAGGCCCATTGTAAAATCCTGGACCTCCCCTGGACTGAGCATAGGGAAACGGTTTCCCACGGACTTTTCTCACGCGATGGTACCATTCAGGATAGAAGACGTCGTTCCTCGCTTGCATCCCGAACGCGTACGGCGGCATCGGTTGGTCGTTGGAAATCGGTGGCATCAAGTTCGGATTCGCAGGTGCATTATAGACCGGTTGATTAACAGCGAAACCCTGTCTCTGTTGTATGAGTTGCGTAGTCAGGTGCCGGTTCACCGGGGAGGACAACGCTTGCTGATGAACCAGCGATGGTTGCGTTAACAATTGTTGTTGACTAACGTCAGTCGCGTACGTTTTCTGAGGGTATTGGCTCTGTAGATAATGGTCCAAAGACAGACGCGATTCCTCCGGCGTCTTCGAGTTCAAAAAACTGTTCAAAGCTACTTCCGTCTGATCGACGTTGCTGGACGCCTGGTTGTACGCTGTTGCAGTTATGTGCCAAGATCCTGGTTGCTCACCAAGGCTCGATCTCTGCTCTTTAGTTTCTTCTATCGCAGGCAGAAACTCTGATGTGTTCTTAGTATTCGATGGTAACGGTTGATGGCTCCAAGAATACTCCGGTGCGTAAGTTACGTTCGTTGCAGTGGCTTCGTATCTTGCGGTTCTTTCATAGGATCGTGACTCCTCAGCCGTGTACTCGGTGTTCTCTGTCAACGGGTTACCCTCGAAGTTTAATTGACCGTTCGCTAATCCAGCCAGGATGATCAACAGGATCGCTCGTGCGTGCATCGCGCTGGAATCAAGAAAAACCGAATACTCCGTTTGCAGGAATCTCGAGATTTAAAAGAAGCATCTAAGAACATCAATTTTATTTATTTATTTACTTATTTAGTTATTATATGGTTTAATAGAGATGTAATTAGCAGGAGAATTAATGTTATAAATTATATAAAAAATTATAAGGCCTCTTCTGTCCTTTATTCGACTCCTCAAATAAATTTCTATCTCTGTAAATACATTATTGCCATCGATTATTCAGTTTTATAATTGCACATTTATGAATGTGTCACATTCATGAAGAAGATCGATGCGGATGCAACAATAGTAGCGTTGTAAATCGAGCAAGCCGGGTCAAAGACCCGCGTAACACTTTCTTCGGTCAAGGTGAACAGAGTCACGCTCTGACGCGAAACTCGTGTCTCCATTAATCGTTCCCTAATGCTTTTAATCGAGGCTGCATTCTACCGCCGTTTCCGAATGAAAGTCTTCACAGCAAAGGTTCAACAGTTCGCTTGAAATGCTGAATCTTTGGACGAATAATAGAAGAATTGACGATGATTCACCTGAGGGGAAAAATATCGCGAGGTGTAACAGGAGGAAAGTCGTTCGGAGAGAGTGGCACTACTTAAAAGTCATCCCACGTGCACGGTTCCTCCTTTTCCAGAGTTTAGGGTCACGAATAACTTTAATTCAAATATAATTAAAATTTTATTATAATTAAAATGTAAATCGTCACGTCGAGGTGAAATGATGAACAGAACTTTCGATTGACCCCCATTGACAAATTTATATTCATGCAAATGTTTGTAACTGTTAAATGCGAAAATTTCACCACTCGCGGCAGGTGACTATCCCAAAAATTGACGATTCAGATTTCTTAGGAACCGTTAATTCATTATGGATTCAACGATCGACCGAAATTCAAAAAATACTTTGATTTCCTTTTGCCGGTCAACGCTGGATGTTGACACCGTTTACAGAGCACGTAGCTGAGTTCTTATCGGGATATCAAATAGCTGAGCGATGCTCGGGTTTAGAATAGATCGTTGCATCTCTCCGAGATCGTTCATAGGAACGTAAAGAGAAAAGAAGCGGAGAACTCCGTCTACCGTGAATGTTAATCATTATTCGACGAGAAAGAGAGCAATTATTATCCTCTGGAGAACGATATCTATAACTTCATTGCTGATACTCTGATATTTAATTAATATTCCCCGAGTACAGTGAAGACTACAGCTTCTTCTTCATTCATACGTCCTACGTGAATGAATCTACGAATTGATCGAGTTTTACTCACGATTGGCGAATAATCTTTCCAGACGTCAGAGAAGCAAATTGTCTTCACGTATTTTTAATTTAAACGACACATCGATTATCATTGATCTGATCGACGCGACCGGCGACTGAATACGATATGCGAGAGAGAACGAGATTCACGTCCATCGGTTCGACTGGAACCAGGAATACTGAAGATCCACGGATCCTATGAGAAAGCCATTCACTTCGGGCCACCACGCTCCACTCCCTACCTTCTCCTCGGAAGAGCTTCGAAACCCAGTCTACTCCACCTTGTTACCTGTTCAAAAATTTCGACCTTCCTTCCAAAAACTGTGCAACATTTATTATATTCCCCTTTCTTCATCTTCTCTTCAGATAGAAACTGGATTGTAATTAATCCAGAAACTGAAATGAAATGTATTTTAATTAAAAATTATAAAAATCGTCTGTATCGTTAATTTATTTAGTATTTTATACTTCTCGATTATTTGTTATCTATCTTCTCATTGATGAACTGAAGAAATGCAAACTGAATGTAAATAACAGTTTGAACTCATAGTCTGCAGTGTATGATCACAAACTTTCGAAGAAAAGTGCTAATTATTAGAATAAGTGGGTCGACCAGTTTAGAGTCTCACTATAACGCTGCACGAAGCAGACATACGTAAATGGGTGAGTATCACGATACGAGGTGACTATCGAAACAGGAGCAAACCAAACTGTGACTTAAGCATCTTCTTTTCATTGCCTTTCAAAAGGACTGCTTCCATGTGTGTCGATATTATCGCGAATCCGTCGATTGCGAATAACTGCGCTTATTCGGCGTTAGATCTAACACTAAATCTAATCCTGCGACAGTACGTTGCGAATTCCGTTTCTCGTACTCTCGTCGCGCTGCCACAATTATGCTAATCGTCTCGTATAAATCGCACTACTATTCTGTTCACGATCAGATCCCAAAATGAGTGCAAAGTGCTCTCAACTAGAGAGATACTCCTTAGTCGAAGCTATTCTTTAGTCTTTAAGGAATAAGTTTAGTCTTTAAGGAATAATAATGATTAAAGAGTATTTCCAAAGGATCCTGTAAAAATTCCAAGTTCAATAAACTTTTACACATTCATAACAAAATTGAATATGAAAAAGAAACTCACGAAGGAACAACAAGAAAATGCATATTACAACGTTTAAATAATTAAAGGCGATTACCTACAATTTTTGTATTCCTAATTATCATTTTTTTTAAAATAATAAATAAAACACAATCTTTCTTAGCATTGTGACTCATAGTCACATCGATTAAAATTAAAAGAGGACGAAAACTGATTGAAGAAGGATCTTTCTTCGAGGAGAACGCCGCGGAGGCTCGGATCGACGAGCAGCGAAGACAATAGGAGGGGTGATCGACGTCCACGCACCTCGTCATCCTCCCGATGGCTGCGAGCGAAGCGTACAAACGAACCTCCGGTGGCCCGTGCGTTATATAATTGTGGCAGATTACTTCCAGCGTTGGTCACATGCATGCTGCCACGCTTGGCCTCTCTGCTTACCTAAGTGTCTACGATCCATGCCAGTGGATATTCGGACACCGGACGATTTCACCGGCGGCGTCGCGAGGATGGAACCGCAGCCGGGGACACCGAGACACAGGTTCACGTGGAGCCGCGTCAAGGAACTTCTGTTGGACTTTCATTTGAATTCCGACCGCGTGTTTTATCGGTAAGCGAACTCCCCGGTCGACGCTAGGATCCTCTTCATTCGGCAGTTTCTCTCTCCTTCTTTTTATGTAACAAAGAAGTTCGTTTTTAATAGTTGAATGACTTCGCGAATTTCGCGACGTTTCAAAGCGAATGCACGGGAATTAGGCTCGATTTTTCTAATTATCTTTGCGGCGCTCCTTTCCGAATTGAAACATTTTACGTTGCACTAAATAAGAGTAACTAACTGACGTTGAAACGTACTTCCGTTCAATGGTAATTCCATACGGAGTTAATTGCACAAAGTAAAGAGGAAACCATCGGTGCGGTTCCTGTATAACTTTTCGTTTTCCGTGTAAATTCCATTCGAAACGGACGTCTATTATTAGCGACTGTTACTCGAGCCGCGATTACGATCGATCAACTACCTACCAGGCAGTTTTTAAATTCGATCGACTGAGCCACGAAAACACAATAAATCTCTTTAGAGGGACAACGGTGTCAGCAGTCAGCCTCGAGTTTCGGCGGCTCGGACAAGCACAAGTTAATTCACTTAAAGTGGTCCCCTTAATTAGTCGAATCAAGAATGCCCACTTTCGTTCGAGGAATCGACCCGGGCTGCCGATTATTCTGGCGCCACCCGATTTGCATTTTCTCATTACATTTCACTGCACTATCACTGCCTCGCATTACCACAGAGACTGTAATAGAAAAATATTCAATAAAAATGAATATTAAATTAATTGAAGAATCAGTTGACATTTTTTCCAATTCTCAGCAATCAGCGCAAACAATATACGAAATGCTGCGTAAACTATTTCTCGGTATTTCCTAACGCTTAGCGCAGCGTTCTGGCTCGGTGAGAGCTTTTCAGCAAAATAGGAATAACGCGTTCTCATCATTAAATTTGTTTTCTCAATAACCGAGCGACGATTAAGATAGAAATAAATTGTTTTCAGCATTGGGTTAAATATTGGAAAGAAACCCTGGCTATGGTTGGTGGTGTCCTTCTGCATAAATTGCATCTGTGCGCCCGGGATAGTCTTTTGGAGGGAAGAAACAGACGACATCGAACTCTTCGTTGCAGACGATTCGTTGATACGGGAGGATGCCATGTGGGTCAAGAATAATTTCCGTGACGATTTTCGTTACGAATGTATCATCGTCACAGCGCCGAACATCTTCGAGCCCGAAGTGCTTCGCTCGGTAAGCAAACGACCATTCATCATTGATCATTCATTCATTCATTGAATTCAAGAATCATTGTCCTTATATTGCTTTCAGATCAAGGCGTTAGAAGAGTCAGTGAAGTCGATAACTGTAAAAAATAACACTTGGAACGATGTCTGTGCGGGGTAATAAATTAACAATTATATCTGTTTGTACTTTAAAAAAATTGTATCGCTTCAATTATAGATACTTTACGTGGTTCAACATGAACGACACAAGCGATGTCTTCACGGATTTCGACTTCCCACCGGACATCCTCGACGAATTAAATGACAAGATGTTAAAGGATGGATGTATATACCAATCGATCGTACAACTCTGGGACGTGAGTTTGTCGAAAGATCTTCGTAACTTGACGAGGGAGGAGATACTCAAGGACGTAACCAAAGCGATGAAACATAAGTGAGCGTCTGAAAGAAGAATCATCGTTTACCGTTGTACCGTTCTCTCATGATTGTTACAGGATAAATGATAATATTTTACTGGACGTCGAGCCTCTGCTCTCGGGTGTCGTTTACGACGAAGGGGGCCGAGTCAAAAGCGCGAACGCTACGATTCTGAACTGGATGCTGAAGAAGTCGAGCCCGTTCTCCGCCGACTGGGAGCTGGAGTTCGTAAACCGCGTTCTTGTCCACTCGAACGTCACATTCCCCTCGGGGATGAACGTGTACGCGCTGGCTGCGCGGAGTTACATAGACTCGTTGAATCAGATACTGAACAGTAACTTGGTAGTGCTGTGCTGCGGTATATCTCTGATAGCGGTGTACGTGATGGCGATGATCGGAAGATGTAATTTAATGGACCAACGGATTTATTTATCTGTGATGGGGGTGTCCGTAGTCGGGCAGGCTATCATATCTTCTTATGGGGTGTGCTACTATCTGGGTTTTTCTTACGGACCGATACACTCGATCCTCCCGTTTCTATTGCTCGGTATAGGCGTCGATAATATGTTTGTGATCATGCAGAGTCTTGAGAACCTCTCGGAAGCCGATCAGGCCGCCGATCTCTCGATACGCATCGCTAAAGCTGTCCAGCAATCTGGTACGATCTACTTTTCCCTCCTTGCTCTTTTTACTTCATCTACACCACTTTTCCTTTTATCTTTCAAGGTATGTCCATCACCGTAACCTCGTTCACCAACGTGATCGCGTTCGCCTTCGGTATTATGACCGTGATGCCGACCCTTAGGTCGTTCTACGCGTTCGCCACGTTTGGCATTCTGTTCCTGTACATATACGAGATTATATTTTTTGTGAGTTGCCTCGTCTACGACGAGAAGAGGCTCGAGGAGCAAAGAGACGGGTGCTTCTGTCAGCCGCGACCGAACTGGAAACCGAACAAGTGCAGTCAGAGGAACACGCAACAGATCATCTTCGAGAACTACATCGGCCCGGGGGCTACCAAGGCCACGTCGAAAATTATCATCCTGTTGATCACCGCCGCCTGTTTAAGCGTCAACGGATGGGCCGTGTTTCAATTAGAGCAGAACTTCGATCCTCTTTCTTATTTAAACCAGGACTCTTATCCGATCCAATTCAGCGACAAATTAAAACAGTATTTTCCGAAGTATGGAAAACGAGCCGCGATTTACATATCCGGCGTTAATTATTACGAGGATCGTGAAACTCTGTTCGAGTTCGTAGAAGCTTTGAAAAGGAATCGATTCGTTAACAACGAGTCGATTGACCCGTGGTTTATTGCTTATGAGAACTGGCTGAACGCTACTGCAAAAGGTAAGAGGTAGATCTTTGTAATTTGTTCAAAGATAAAAAAGAAATTTAATCGTAGATGATATTGAAAGCGAGGAGGAGTATTATAATGTTCTGTCGGAGTACCTGCTTCTAACGAAGGAAGGCCAGGCGTACATCAAGGATATCAATTTTGATAAACTACCAGCTGGGGAGTATAACATAACGGTAATAATTAATTAGAAACATTTAACATGGAATTAGCAGTTCTCCTGGCAAAGGTTCGTCTGTTTTTTAGAAATCGCAGATTCCTCTGCAGCACATCATGCTCAATACGACGTCGGAACAAATACAAGCGATGCAATCGATCAGAGACATAGTGGACTCTGCGAATTTTTCACAAGGCCATGATTACATCGCGATCTTCTCGCCCGATTATATTTCCTGGATGGCGAATAAAGTGAGAGGGCATCTCGTTCATCTCGCTCCTGTTTACTCGACGTCATTTTCACGGCTCTTACTTTGACAGGTGATAGGCGAAGAATTAGTTAGGAATCTGGGTATGGAAATTGTAACTATCGGCGTGGTGATAATAATATTCCTTAGAGATTTGCGCACGTCGTTCTGGGTAATCTGTTGCGTGTTCTTTACGCTGATCAACTTGCTCGGTGCTATGTATTTCCTGAATCTGACCATTGAAATGTCATCGAGTATCATGATCTTGCTATGCGGCGGGCTGGCGGTCGATTATGCGGCGCACATGGGTTTAGAATTCATACGCTCGAAGGGCAGTAAAAGAGGTGAGTGTATTAATTGATTTCCTCCACCGAGAGGGAAAGATCCAAAGATTGATCGTTCGCAGAGCGAGCAATAGCGACGATTTCTATAATTGGCCCGGCTGTATTCAACGGGGGTCTGAGTACGTTCCTGGCATTCGTTTTACTCGGTTCCAGTGAGGCTTATATATTCAGTACTTTCTTTAAGGTACTGTTCATGCAGATTTTACTTACGGAATTTAAACAGTTTTAAATAAAGGCTTGTTCTTTCAGTTATTCTCGTGTGTAGTGCTATTCGGTCAGTTTCATGGACTATTGTTCTTACCAGTAATTTTAAGTATAATAGGCCCCGACGAGAGGACAATTGAAGTGAAGCAAGAGAAACAAGAAGTAGTTATGACGAAGCGTCATTGGTACCGAAATATACTTTTATCTCAAGCCGAGAAAGGTAATTTATGAATAAAATCCAGAATACTAATCCGTACTGCGTAAAGGTGGCTTGTTTGTGACCAAGTGAAATCTGTCTGCATCGAAATATCAAAATATTATTAAATATATCTCTTCCACCTTTACACAATTAGAGTACCTAGAAAATGTTTACATATATATTTAAATACTATGCTCTTTCAGATGTAAGAGACAGACTTGCCAAATAACATTTGATAATTTTTCTAAAACTTCTTAGACAATCTGATTACAAGAATATAATTCCAATTGCGACCACTGCTCAAGTACTGTAAAGCAGTAATCTATACATTCTCTGTTAACTTATCTATGTAAGATGATAGGCTATGTAAGGAAAACGAACAGTACGAGTTAGGAGTAAAATAAATTTTTATTATCTTTTCCGTCGACTTTTCACTTCCGTCCATCCATCGTCTACTTCCATAGCAACAGGTGCCTCTGCTTCCTCCTCCTCCTCCTCCTCCTCGGTGTCGGAACTGTCGTTTTTCAACGCTTGAGACTTCTGAGCACTCTTCACGGGTTCGTTCGTGAGGAGCCAAGGTTGCAGTGGAGATAGCTTCGAAAATTCTTCCAACGCTACAGACTCTTCTTTCCTGACGCAGTATCGGTAGAATCTGTATAGTTCCTCGGCAACTTGGATCGCACTGCCGTCCTCCAACTCCGTATTAAACTGATCGTCCATGTAATCTTCTAATACGTCGGCAATGTCCTTGCTCTTCAAATCATCTGAGCAAAAGTGGAATATTCCAAAGGTTACATAGAAATCCAAGCATGAACTACTGTCCTAAAGTATTTTGAACATAAATAAAATGACTTACCATTCATGAAAATAACGTCTGTCATGTAAGGGCAGAAATCTACTGCCCTGTCTTTTGTACCCATTCCGTATTCTACAGCCATCTAATAAATAAACATCACGTAAACGTTAATATATAAAATACCATTTGTATACGCGTAAATGTTTCTGTTTTAATAAAGAGATATTCTAACCTTTAACGCCGTCCAGTTACTGAACACACGTTGCGTGACCGACAGGAAGAATTCTTTAGAATTCGACATTTTAATATCGATTTAATACAAATAATTGCTTAAACAATTCTGCACTGAATGCACTGTCACTGCTGTTAACACAATGCAACAATTAAACAAACTCGAACACTGATATTGTCTTGCTCGCGTTTGCTCGGCAACTAGCACGTGATTAGTACGCACGTTTTCCTTGTGTTCTTTGGTTATCACGCACACTATTTCACTTAGAGTAGTATATGCTCTAAACTATTTCCAGTCAACTAAATTTGCAACTGCCACCGCCACGTACTTTACTATAGAAAACTTTCGTTACCGTTTACCGCAGGATCTGCCGTCGGAATGACGAGTTCCTCTGTCAGAATTCAGAATGTAGGATTCTCCTCTTCCCGAACTGACCTCCACTCCACTGACACTGACTCCCACTACTTCTTTTACCTCCACTTACGTTACCTATAGTCATGCGCCTTGCACAAAGAATATTGAGACTCGATGGTGGGGAAAGGCTTCCTTTGTGGCGCGAAGATGCGACGTCGCGACAAGTCAGGAAAATTATACTTTCTCCTCGGTGTTAAGGATTAAGTCATAAACAGAAAGTCCTTTGTTGTCCAGTTGTCCTGTTTTCCCTCCCTCGATTTGTACTTAAGGATAACGAATTAAGGCTTAAAAAGAGAAATAAACCGTAGAAGTCCTTCGTAGAAGGCTTCTGCTGAAGGTGCCGCGTGCAAAAGAACAACTAGACAATAAAGAACTTCTACGGTTTTTTCCTGTTTATGGCTTAATCCTTAACATCGAGGAAAATGTATAATCCTCTCGGTGCTCTTAAGGATGTATTGGCTACACAGTCAATCCCAAAAGTTTATGCACTTTAGAAACGCATTTTTTAAAAAGAAATCAGACGTCGGAAGAACATTGCTAATAATAAACAACAACAAAAAATTTTCGATTTTTCTGAGATTTTTCCAAGGGGTACCTCTTCAGATTTTGTGAAATTTTCGTTTTTTGCCAATAACTCCTAAATCGTTGGATCTATGGGAAAATTGCATACAACCTTTCTTGTAGAGGACGACGAGATCTACAATTTCCATATAAAACTTTTTCGCTAGCGTTACTAATTAACAAGTATTTTGCAAAAAACTGTTTTTTCATTTTTCGTCAATAACTCGTAACACAGTGTTGCGCGCATCACGTGGTTTGGCCAGCCACGGTTACATGACTAGAAGGTTGGCTGGGTATATTTTCTTTTATATACTAGGGACCTTTTGACGTGGATCAGCTGATTGTGTGCAATTTGAGTATTCCGATGATTAAAATGGCTGCGGTCGTGAGAGTGCAGTAAGGGTTGTGCGATATTTTGGCATACATCGCCAGTTACGACGTTTGGAGCCGTTGTCATTAACATTCGCTGTCCTCGGTAAATATTTCTACCGCTATTTTCGACGGAAGGGCCGTTCGTTCGCCGTGGCGTTTCTATATAAACGGGGCAACGTTGAAACCTTACGGGTTGTCAGTGACATCTCGTAAACGTGATATAGCAGACGTCTCTAATTGCTTTTAATAGGTTTTCTTCGGGAAATTTAGTGTGCCGCGTTGTCGCAATGGTTTTTATGGCAGATGCTCGTTGAGACCCTCGCGCTACGTCCGAGAAGCTCGTTTCCCATCGACGACCGACCGTGTCCGCTATTAATATCGATGTAACACTGATTATTCTTCCGTTACTTTCATAACAAGGGTTTCCATTCCTTCCTTTCTTCCTGGAATTATTTTATCGCTCTGACTACCTGCTCTTTATCTTTACTTGGCATTACCTAGAACCTTACGCCCCAGGAATATTTATTGCAGACCTGACAATCTACGTTCTAACGTTCTACTAATAAAACATGTGCATAGCCTAGGCATTACGTTTTTATGTTATACGATAACACAGATGTTTTACGATTAACTGTCAATTTCATGTGCTGTTCATTCCTGTAATTATGCTTGTGAATTTAATATATCATTAAATAAAAATTGAAGTGATTCATGAGAAAATTTAATAACGAATGTCACACCCTATAACGATTCTAATTTATTAAGCTCGTTGAATAATTTTTTATGAACACTTTAATGTTCACTTGTTTAATTCAGTTATAAATTCCAGGTTGAATAAAAAAAATGACAGCGGGTACAAGCTTAGTAGTACCCATAGTATTATGGGGTCGTATAGCTCCTACTCATTGCATTTCCTGCATCTACTTGTCTCGAGATCAGAAAACGCTGGTAACGGGATGTTACGATGGCCAGATATGCCTGTGGCAAGTAGACCCCGCGACGTTAAAGGTAAACGCAATCTTATCTTCAAATTAAATTCATTGAGACGTCGATCGGTAACGTTGAATGATCATTAACGTCGTTCAGATGACTCCGAGGTGTCTACTTGTTGGCCACACCGCACCGATTTTGTGCCTGAGCCGAGCGAGCGTTATTATGGAACAGAACTATATCGTCAGTAGCAGTGAGAGTGGAGAGATGTGTACTTGGGACTTAGTAGATGGAAAATGCAGAGAAGCTGTAAAACTTAGTAGTGTTCACACACAGATGTTGCCTTATGTCTCCGCTGGTGGAGAGGACGTTAGACTTTTTTGCTCCGGGTATTAATCTTACATATGGCTCATAATTTCTATCATGGTTTTCGCATTCATATCTAGAATGGCAGTGATCTGATTGTTTTAGGTATTATCCTGAGGTTTTAGTGATGGACCCGTTTAGCCTGGAAGTTTTATTCACCTTAAGCTCGCGTGTTAATCCTGACTGGATCAGTGCTTTGCACGTTCTGCGGCCGGCCAAACGGAAAGGTCGGTTCTACGTGCATACAAGTTAGTTACACTCCATCACACCTACGCTTTATACCATGAATTCTTTTTTCTCTATTTCTCTCTGTCTCTCCTCTTTCTACCTTCCTTACCAATCTATATTGTGCACATTTAATACGAAAATTTCGTCGCTTTTTATTGGTCCAGGATTTTTAAAATGAATTTCAATAAATATTCTAGATATTGCTAATATTTCAAACACTGCACAATAAGTTTGGTACGTTCCTATTAAATTTTTATATTACCTTTCTGCTCAAGGTATTTTTCTAAAAGTACGTATTCTTTAGATATAATTGTCTTAGTCGGAATACAAAAGAACGAAATATATATATATATATATATATATATATATAAATCTTCTGTAAAATAATTAACTAGAATTGAAATCTGTCTGTCTCTCTTATCTCTTTTTGGGTCTCGGCTAACTTCTCAAGCACATGACTAAAACAAAGCTTTATGCTTCGGGCATATTAGAAACTTCTGTACTTTTTGTAAAATCGAATTCAGTATACTATTTTGCTTAATGGTGAAATTATTATTGAAATGTCGATCTGTTATACCAAACGTTATATTATACTGTCTGATGGGTGAAGTATAATTGAAATCTTAATGAAAGTTACATTGTTCCAGCATGTTAGTGAATCACATGTGGAGATACATCAGTGCCATTGCACTGGTAATCAACGCTCTCTCATTTCTTATAATATCTTCTCTTCTTCTTGTTCTTCTGGTCTCTCTTTTTAATTCTCATTCAATTGTAATATAATACGAGCAGGCTTTAGTAGAGTTACGAGAAACCTTCCTCTTATACTGATCTCCTTTTTCATTGTCAGATCCTATCACGAAATCATAACAGCGTACATTGCATTTACCTACATTAATCACATTCATTTATTCTAATATATATATATCGTATATCATGTATCATTTCTATCGTAAGTATACACGATTATTATACAAATATACAATACGTTATGAAGATATATTTCATGTCTGAATACGGTGTAATTCAGTTTGTCGTATTTGCGTAAAAATTTAATCCGTGCTTTGTTGTATTATGTTTTGAGCAACGATTTTTGTGACAGAAGATCCGTAACTCGGGTCGCACTAATATTAAAATAAATTGAATGAGACGATAGGATGTAAAATGTAATAGCATGTACACGATTGATCAGTTTTTCGCACATTACTTAACTTTCGCAGCTCTGTTTTAAATATGTACATAATTATTCTTAATACTTTTACGTGGCATTTTATAACAGACATTTCTTTCTTAAGTTTCCTTATGAGACGTTTTGATGCACGTGTTAAATGAGCATGGATACAAATACCTCTACACCGATAATTATTTTGCATGAAAGCCTGTACGTCGTTACATGGGTTTTATTTATTACATAGTACAATCGCTTTGGATATTTTCTTTCTCTTCAGTTATTTTACTTATCGTTTATGATTTTTGTACAAAGTCTGTAGTCTCGCGTGTGTTTTGTATGAAGCAAAAATTATTCTGCTTAAAATTGCTGTGACACCTTCATAGATGTAGTTAACGCGCAACAGATGCTTCCGTTCATTTAAAGACGACGTTGTGCTGGCCTTAACGACGACCGGGACGGTCAAAGTGTGGACTCTCCTTGGACACGAGAATCGTAACAGTGAACCACTTTACGAACACGAGAGCAAACAAATACGATGCTTAAACGCGCTTGCAATGACCTGTTGCCCGTACAATCAGAGAACAGTATTAATTGTCTGTTCGAAACACTGGCAGGTATACATCTTATTAATAATTTAACATTTCCTTTGAAGACGACGTTGCTGATTTAATTATGTATTTTTAATTAGGTATACGACGCTGGCGATTTCTCTCTTCTATGTTCAATTACTGCGCCCTGTGGCGAACGTTGGATGGCCGGCGACTTTTTAGCTGCGGACAGAGTCATCCTGTGGAGTGACGAAGGTCACGGCTACCTCTACAAACTACCGGCTAAGTACGTTTTCAAACGTGACTACTTTCCTTATTACATGATCCGTTTTAACGTCACTCTGGAATTTTTTAAGTCTATTCGGGAATTACGAGATTTTCGAGAAAATCTGTAAAACCAGAATCTCCTGATTATACGTAGTTATTTACGGATGATTAATTTGTTGCTTATAGGGTTCTGGTACAACTCGACAGGTAGTTTTATATTAATATATAATTCTTTTTATATAAAATAATGATTAACTAAATTTTGTTCTGAGAACGACGCTCAATTTTATTATGTTAAACTACTAACACGTGTTTATGCGCTTTAACGAACTATTAAACAAATAATATAGTAACTGAAAATTGAATTTACGTTCACGAATTAGTAGTCTGAATATATTTCGTTTGCTGTTAGACACATCGACGAATCTTTCACAGCGAACACACATGCTCCCTATTAATCAGAACCCTCGAGTTGAACATCTCGAAGTTACAAGCTATTTCATAGCAGCACTGGCTAGCAATGCACATTCGATATTTGTTTATCATGTACTCGTTTTTTACTTAATTTATCACGAACATTCATATTCAGTCATTAAGAAGAAATTTCGAAAGAGACTCTTCCCGATTTAAGTGGAATAAACAATTAGGGCTTTCAAGCAAAAGCCACTGTGACTAATTTATGATTTCCACCCATTTTGCAACACGGTTTCATGATACGATTAGTTTTTACGGCGATCTATCTTTTTCATATAATACACATCTACTACATTCTACGGTGGATCTGGTGTTCTTCTAGCAAGTTGAAGGGCAAGGCTCTCAGCAGGTAACCCTGCATTAATCTCTGTTACACACTACTTCTTGTATTCTTCACTCTACCTCTTGTCTCTTATGTTTCTCATATCCGTTCTGCTGAGATTAAAGGTTTATTTTTCTTCTCCACTTTCCTCTAGTCTAAATGTGGTAAATCGACTTTCGCAAATTTCTACTAAGTATAAACGAACACGGTCTTTTAGACTAGAATCGAAAACAAGATCTGTATAATTCATCATTTGTCATTTTATGCATTTGAATAAATCAACGATTTATTAATTTTGCTTTAAACGATAAGAGCATCTGCTATCACTGCATCTATTCTGATTTTTCTGCTTCTACCACGACTACAATTGTTACAGTAGAAACAAGATTGGGGGGGTTGAAAGAAGATAGATGTTACGTCCCTCTGCATTTCACGTCTTATCATATTCTCATATTTTATCTGTTTTAAGTTGCTTTATATGTCTCAGTGTCTTCTGTACATATGTATGTATATTGG